TTCTTATCTCACCTTTCACTCAAACAATCAGTTTTGAAGGGGTTAACAAATATCCAAACAAGTGGTTGCAATCAACACTTTATTTTGACGCTTTATAACTAGCATTGGCTTTAGCTACACATCTGTTAGAAGCCAGTAAGCACTAAATAACTCGCACATTTGCGTTTGAGGAGTTTTTCGGTAGCTCATGTCGATCACCACCACTGAATTTGGGAAAAACCTTTGAACATTGAACTTGTTGAATTTGCATCTAATCCCCGATATTAAGTGACTGACTTGCTGTAGACTTGATAAAAATTCCTTTTGGTTACATCACAGTGGAATTTCAGGAATTTGGTTTTTACTTTATACTACTTATGAAATAATCAGTAGAAGATGCCAAAAAGAAATTCAGAATCTTAGCTAAATGGTACATTAGGCAAAAAATAGTATATTTTCAGTTAGAGTTTTGGAGATTTGTGTTTTTACACATTTGAAATCATCAATCAATCATTGTTAGACTATCAACATTAGAAACCTGAAAGCACTGAAACACGGCCATTTCGTCCTGGTATGGGACGAAATCAGTGGTAGTGTGCATTCACGACTCCTGCACCTCGCAGGATTCGAATCCGGGACTTCCGGTATTGTGCGCGAATGCCTAACTATCGGAACACAGGGCCGGCACCCATCGGTGTTAATGTCTAATTCCGATTGATCTAAGGATTTTGCACGACCTCACCCACCTCCAACTGAAAATATCGTAACAGGTGCTCACTAGTGACTAGCTTCGTGAGGAAATTCTCGGAGTTCTAGTCAGAAGACGTGACCAATGGAGTTCAGCCCTGTCGGGTGTAGGCAGTAACTACTATTAAAGGCAAATGGGTAAGGTCGTGCAAAATCCCTAGATCGATTGTAGTTAGACATTAACACCGTTGAATGCCACCGGCCCAGTAGACCAGAGGTTAGGCGTTCGCGCACAATACCGAAAATCCCAGGTTCGAATCCTGCAAGGTGCAGGAGTCGTGGATGCGCACTACCACTGATGAGTCCCCTATCAGGACGAAACGGCCGTCTTTCAGTGCTTCCAGGTTTCTAATGGTGTGGTCTAACAATGATTGATTGATGATTTCAAATGTGTAAAAATAGTATGTGTGATTTTTGGACATTGTATCAACGCATCTTCCACTTAAATCTGATTTTCTCTACTCCAAATATGATGTATAGATCTTCACTGAGAATGGTCACATGTTTTGTTGTTGATTTCGTAGTTAAATTGAGTAGTAGGTAAAACAGTAAATGTGATTTGTTGACTTTGTATTATTGTAACTATGAAAAATCATAAACTGATCTTAACCATAGAGCACTAGTGAAAATGTGGAAGCACTGGACTGCCGTTTGATTATAGTATGAGACTCCTCCGTAGTGAAGAACCACGACCTCGTACGTTAGAACCTAGACTAAATACTTTAAGTAGATTGCTAAGTTGAAGTTATATGAATTGGTCATTGTTAGGTCATCATTAGAATCCTGGGAGCACTGGATGGCGGTTTTGTCTTAGTAAGGGACATAATCTGTACTGAAGGAGAACACAGGTGGGGCAACCGGATTGTATTTAAAGAAAATTACAGAGTTAATCAGTAAAATAGGAAAACCATATCGTAAATCGTTAGTTAATTTGCAAAATATCAGTTCATCAAATTGAACTGGACTGTTCCTGTTGCAAAACATCATCAATCCATTGTCACTCACTATTCATGCGTTTCATACAAATTCCATTGTTTTCTAACTCTTCCTTTCTTGATCTTCCCCCGTCTTCTGCTGCTGCCAGACATTACGTTGACACTTACGTCATATACTACTTATAAGTAGCTCACACCACAAATCTACTTGTGTGAACTGAAGTCATTGTTTTAAGTATGAAATCTTTAAGATAGAATACATGAAGTAGTATATATGAAAATTATAATTTGCGTAGAGTCACTTAACCAAATACAACGTAGAACGTCATACTTACATAAATCAGTTCAACTTGCCATACCACAACATTAGCACAGAGATGAAATTGTCAGCTCAAATATTTCAGTAGCTGAAGTAGCGACAGTATTTAGAGTGATCGAAAAGATTAGGAATTGAAGATATGATTCAAGAAGTACAATCTAGTTAAATAACCTTAAAAACTGAAAAACAAAGGTGATGAGGAGTTTAGAAGATTAGAATTTCAGAGAAGACCAAAAATGGATACGCTTGCGCCATTGCAGACTAAGTCGATACATGTCATTCAAAGTCACTAACCACCGGCTAACGTTGTCTCGCGGACCCCAACCTGGTAGTCTACACCTACCAACATGCTCCAGTCCACTTGACAATGACTTCATGTGTTTGTGGCATGATTAGGTCTTCTTATGCTCGTCACTAGATAAGTTTAAAACTATTACGGGTTCACCGTAGTTGATAAACGAGAACGAGACAATGAACCAGCGTCCAAGTAGGCTAACTTGATCAGAAAACAGCAAAACGGAAGTCTTGACAAGCGATCACAATCATCTCAAGCACACAAATCGCGTTTATTTATACATCATAGAAACGTCCTTGAGACAGTCACAAAAACAGCACACTAAAATAACACAGTAATCAATCACAGTCATGGATTGTCCTGGTGGGAAATGTAATTTCAAGGTCAACTGATCATCCCGTGCTCAGAAAAATAAAATCCAAAATAAAGACATTTATCAAGCGAGTTCTGAGGATCTAACATCCCCAACAGGTCTGACCGTCCCTAGCTTTCTTCCAGCCTGCTACCACTACATAAGACAACATCGCTCATCGAAAAGTATTCAGTGGTTAGATATACTTGTTAAAATGAATGAATTAACTACTTAACGTTCAATAAAATTCAGTGAGACAATCTTATTGAATCGTAAATGTGGCGCGCTCTTCATCTTTTTTTGGAACTCGTCTTTGGTTGAATTCTTCATCTTTATCTTAAAACTAGTGCCAACTCAGGAACTCAAACCCTGTACCCCATTGGCTTCAAACACCACCACGTAATACACTCAGTTAATAAGTTCATATAACTCTTATGTTCTATGCGATATGGTGAATTTTATTTTAATTTTATTGGTCATTTAAATCTCCTCATTGATGTTTCTCACTGGTATTGTACAATGTCAGTTGAGATAAGAATGCATTCTATGCGAATCACCTCATTATTGCCTATGTAATACCAAATTTATAAGTCTGGAATATAGATATATACATCTAGTTAAACATGGGGTTTCAAACAGATCGAAATCTGCGTCCTGAATTCCTCCACTACTATTATGGCAGAAATCCATGACATCACTGACAAATGGTCTGAGTCATGTTGCTAGATGTGGACTATCTAGTTGGGATCCGCGAGAAGAAAGTCACCAATTGTTAGAGACCTTGAATGACATGGCTCAGAATCGTTTACAATAGCGCAGGTGCATCCACTATTTGTGTTCTTTTTACATCTAACCTTCTGAATTCCTCATAATCTCTATCTTTCTCCGTCTAAATTTATCTCACTGAATTATACTTCTCAAATCATTTCTTCGCTCCCTAATCTCCTCCATTACTGTTAATGCTTCTCCTATCGCTATCACTCTTGGATTTGAACTGACAGTTACATCTCTGTGTTGACGTGGTATGGCAACCTGAACTGATTTACTTACGTACGAAGTTCTGTGTTGTATCTGTCTGTCTGTCTGTATGTCTATCCACTACTATCCACTATCCATCTCTACCTCTAATGTTTATAACCCCAAAGTAATACCAAGTTAATCCGTAATGAATGCGCTTATACTAACTAATTCCAGTCCTAACACATCAAACGGAAAGATTCAACACAACAGATCGAAATTTGCGTCCTTGATTCCTCCATTACTATGGCAGAAATCCATGAATTCACTGACAAGTGAACTGAGTCATGTTGGTAGATGTAGGATATCTAGTCGGGATCCGCGAGAAGAAAGTCACCAATTGTTAGAGACCTTGAAGGGTAGATACAGGCTATCTGGTTGGGGTCCGTGAGACGAAAGTCACTAATGGTTAGAGACCTTGAACGACATGACTCAACATCGTTTGCAATGGCGCAGGTACATCCACTCTTTGTGTGCTTTTTAATTCTAACCTTCTGAATTCCTCATAATCTCTATCTTTCTCCTTCTAAATTTATCTCATTGAATTATACTTCTCAAATCATATCTTTGCTCTCTAATCTTCTCTATTACTGCTAATAATTCTACTATCGCTATCACTCTTGGATATGAACTGACAGTTGCGTCTCTATGCTGATAGTGGTATAGCAACCTGAACTGATGTACTTACATACGAAGTTCTGTGTTATATCTGTCTGTATGTCTGTCTGTCTATCCACCACTATCCACTATCCATCTCTACCTCTAATGTTTATAACCCCAAAGTAATACCAAGTTAATCCGTACTGAATGCGCTTATACTAACTAAATGAAACTAACTAATTCCAGTCTTAACACATCAAACAGCAAGATTCAACCCAACAACACAAATGAATTATTTTTCATCTCCTTAGACAAGTGAGTAACTACCTGAGCTTACTAGATGAGTAGATAACGCGATGGTGTTTAAAACGAATAGTATCGAGTACTGAGTTCCTCCACCACAGTGAACATCATCTCTGAGCGGCAGGTCCCAAATAGAACTTTCCAACCTTTTTAAATCTTAAAAGTCTTTTATTCAATTTCTAATAAAAATTCGATTATGGAGTTTTTTAATTCGCCTCTTAATGATTTAAAATGTCTTTCTACTTCTTATCGATTATAGTGATGATCAATAGCCTTAGTTAAATTCATCATTTTATTTTCTGATAAACTACTACTACTTTTTTGTTTTAATTCTTCAAATAAAACAATAATTCGCGCGCCCGCGCACACACACACATTCGGCCATATTGATAATTGAATTGGGTACATTTTCATCATTTTTGAATCTGTATTTTTTTTCTCCGATTTTTTTAGCCTGTTTTTGAACATCCATTTATTCAACAACCAGATAATTTTCCGAAAGAAAAATTAAAAATTCTTATTTGGGAAGAAATTCAAAAATATCGTAATCATAAAACAATCAATGAAATGATGTATGTGAATAATACTACTAATAATAATAATGGTAGAAATTCGGATCAAACAGATAATCAATGTGGTATGTTGATTTGTTTTTTTTCCTATTTTGAGGGACTGATGTAGTGAAAGGAGAACACAGAGGTGAGGGCAACTGAATTGTATTTATCGCAAATTACAGAGAGTTACTCAGTAAAATAGGAAAACCATATCGTAAATCGTTAGTTAATTTGCAAAATATCAGTTCATCATATCGAACTGGACTATTGCTGTTGCAAAACATCAATCCATTGTCACTCACTATTCATGCGTTTCATTTAAATTCCATTGTGTTCCCTCCCACTCTTCCTTTCTTGATCTTCCTCCATTTTCTGCTGCCAGACATTACGTTGACACTCACGTCATATACTACTTATAAGTAGCTCGCACCACACTGAATGAATCAACTTACTAATTTACGCTTGTCACCGCCGCGCCCCCTTCGGGTGGAGCACAGGTAGCCGACCAGTAGTATTCTTCAATCAACTAATTCGTTGGCCTACCTTTCTAATTAATTCTATTCAATATTTGTTCATTCTACTCATGTCTGTCTTCATAATTCGGTGTAATGTGTTCGTTAGCACTTCGTATTTTCCTTTGACGTTGAGGGTTCCAAATGAGGGCTTAGGAAGAAGCGGTGGAAGTGGATAGGACATACACTACGAAAAGCACCTAACTGTGTCACGAGACAAGCTCTCACATGGAATCCTCAAGGCAAAAAAAAGAAAAGAGGAAGGCCAAGGAACACATCACGCCGAGAAATCGAGAAAGATATGAGAGGAATGAACAAACATTGGACAGAACTGGAGAGGGAAGCCCAGGACAGAGTTGGTTGGAGACAACTGGTCGGTGACCTATGCTCCATTGGGGTTGTTAACAGGCGTAATTAATTAAGTAAGTAAGAAATGAGGACTTTTCTTGTTACGGAGTTGAGTGATTTCCTCAGTGTGTGTCCTATCCACCAACTCTAGTGCTTCTTCCTGATTTCATCTTCTGCTGGTTTGTTCTTTTCCACAGTAGATTGTTGTTGCTGATACTCTCTGTAGTATTTTGCGTGGACAACTGTTCATGAATACTTGAATATTCTTCTGGATGATGGCTTTGGTTTGTTCTCCAAGTTTCTGCTCTATACAGCAGCATTGTCTTGACATTTGTATTGAAAATTATGATTTTCAAGTTTTTTGACAGTTGTTTCCAGCTACACATGTTGTTTAATTGTAGAAATGCAGTTGTAGAAATGCTTTGCTGGTCCGTGCCTTCACATCTGCATCGGATCCACCTTGATTGTCGATGATGCTGCGTTGGTATGTAAAAGTGTTAACGTCCTCCAAGGCATCTCCATCAAGAATGATTTGGTTGGTGCATGCTGTGTTGCATTGAAGAATTTCGCTTTTTCCTTTTATGTATGTTGAGACCTGCTGCTGCTTCTGCTGAGGCTGCTGCTACACTGGTCGTCTTCTCTTGCATTTATTGTTGCATGTGCGGTAAAAGAGCCAGATCATCTGCGAAGTTCAGACCGTCCAGCAGCATTCTGGTTGTCCACTGTATCCCATGTTTCCCTCCAGATGTTGATGTTTTCATAATCCAGTCGAGTTGATTTGAAAATTCAACTCATAGTGAACCAATCAGAAGAGGTGAAAAATGAGAAGGTATTTGATGACTAATAGAAATGTCCTAAGGGATGAATGTAAACTATTGGTCGAGAAATGGATAGATTTTCTAAGGAATAGAGTGAATATAATTATTTGAGTATTTATGTATACTATTTGGTAGACAAATGGACTGTTTTTGATTCTGTTCTTGTCTTGTCGCCGAAGTAGTTGATCTGGGGATTAGCATATACCATGTTCACGTCTTGAACACCATCACTCAAATAGTTCTGATATATTGGAAAATTTCGATCTAAATTGGTTAATCAGTTATCGATGAACAAGTCATGTTTGACCTAGTTCTTAGCACTATTTGAATTCTATCAATCTCATTGAAATTAGGATAAAATCTGGTACAAAGGTATCCTATTGACTACTTCTTAACCACCTAACAGCTCAACATAGTACATTCAATGTCGATTCGTTTGGACTACATTTGGCTATATTGAAACCTGATCAATAAAATTCTCTCAAAATTGTCGAACTAGACAAAATATGACTTTGTTCCCTACGCATCACTCAAGTGTATATAAGGTCACTTTAAGTGTTATGTTCGTCATTAGGTACGTTTGAAGCTATTTTGAGTTCACCTTAGTCGATAAACGCGAACGAGACAATGAACCAGTGTCCAGGTAGGCTATCTTGAATCCCAAACTGTGAAACAGAAGTCTTGATAAGCGTAGAAAGTATATTCTACAAACACCCAGCAAGCACAATACAGTCAAGCACACAACTCTCGTTTATTTATACATCATAGAAACGTCCTTCGGACAGTTACGATAATAGCACACTAAAATACTCAGCAGCCAATCACACAGCCAAGGATTTTCCTGGTAGGAAATGAAATCTCAAGGTCAACTGATCAGCCCATGCTCGCAAATGTGGAATCCAAAATAAGAAATTTATCAAGCGAGTTCTGAGGATCTAACATCCCTAACCATAAGGTCACTAGAAGCTCGAATAATTGTGTGATGACGTCGTCAACTAGGTGAAACTAGGTGAAAGAGCGCGTCGGTTGTGTGCAAGATTAAATGTTCACCTTGATCAAAAGTATTAGGGAGCACAAAACCTACATCCAAGTTTCGGTGTTGGTTCCGTTTAACAATCAACGAAACTTTAGGAATCGTTATTTTTGAAGCGATAATGTCAATGTTTCAGCAAAGAGTGCGCCAAAAACATGAATTCTATCGACCACTTTAAATCGTAATAAAGAAGAAATCCTGATATTTACTCAAAAATTAATTTATTACATGACCTAAACTTACAATATTTGACAAAGTAGAATAATTCAGTTTGTATTGTACGGAATAGTGCTGCTCACTCCATACGCAGATCTCCTCATTTATCCAGAATTACGAACGGTAGTAATCCTAGGCTGATTAAGGAACATAGATACAATACAGCATGAACGAACCGAATAGAAGCTCCGGAGGATGTTAGAGCCTATACATATCTGACAGCCTCATTGATGAGCAAGATCGGTCTGAGGCAGATCTGAAAGCATTGACTAACAAAGCAAGTGAAGCATTACTACGATTGAAGAACATTTGGAACTTAAAACAAATATTAACTAACATCAGTGTCATAGTTTTCAATACAAATGTCAAGACATTTCTGCTGTATGCGGCGGAAACTTAGAGGACCACAAAAGCCATCATCTGCAACATACAAGTGTTTATTAACAGTTGCCTACTCAAGATGCTGCGAATTTGTCGGCCATACTTCATGACTAACAGATGACAATGGGAAAGAAATAAAAACCAGATCGCAACTGAGTAAAACAATCAGGAAGAAGCACTGGATTTGGATTGGGCATACTGTCCGGACAGAACACTACTATGTCATGAGACAAGTCCTAACATGGAATTCTCAAGTTGTAATGAAAAGAGGAAGAACAAAGGGTGTATTGTGTTGGGAATCGGAGCTGTTGTCTGACCATGCTCCACGAGAGGTAACAGGTGTAAGTAAGTAGAGAGAGAGAGAGATACAACACAGAACTTCGTACGTATGTACATTAGTTCAGGTTGCCATACGGCATAAGCACAGAGACGCAACTGTTAGTTCAAATCCAATAGTGGTAGCGATAGTAGAAAGGTATAATTCAGTGAGATAAAGTTAGAAAGTGAAAGGTAGAGGTGTTGACCAATCCAGAAGATTAGGATTTGAGAGAACACAAAGAGTGAATACACATGCGTCATCGCAAACGATTTAGAGTTATGTCATTCAAAGTATTTAACCACTGGTGACTATCGTCTCACATACCCCAACTAGGTAGTCTGCATCTACCAACATGACTCAGTCCACTTGTCAGTGATTTCATGGATTTCTGCCATGTTTTGGTTTGGCCACCCAAAAATTTCTTCCAACCTACTCCTACACCACAAAACATAGCTCATTGAGGCAGTTGCTGGTTAGACATACGTAAGTAGATAAGTAAGTAATTGAGTGATCCATATCTAATTATAGGTTCACAAATTATTTCTCAGAGTTACCATCCTTTCAATGTACACTCCGATATAACAGTACCATATCTCATGTCTGCGTCAGTGATTATTGATCTTCCCTCATCTTCTGCTGCCAGACATTACGTTTACACTCACGTCATACCACACTGAGTGAATCAACTTATTTGCTAATTTACGCTTGTCACCGCCCCCCGAATGGAGCATTGGCAGCCGACTAGTAGTATTCTTCAGTCAACTCTTTCCTCGGTCTATCTTTCTAATTCTATATCATATTTGTTCATTCTACTCATGTCTGGCTCCATAATTCGGTGTCATGTGTTCCTTAGCCTTCCTATATTCCTTTGAATTTGAGGGTTCCGTGTGAGGGCTTGTCTTGTTATGGAGTTGGGTAATTTGGTCAGTGTGTGTCCTATCCACCAACTCTAGTGCTTCTTCTTGATTTTGTCTTCTGCTGGAATCTGGTTTGTTCTTTCCTACAGTAGATTGTTGTTCCTGATCATGTCTGGCCAACGAATCCAAATTATTTAGCGAAGACAACTGTTCATAAATACTTGTATCTTCTGGATGATGGCTTTGGTTTGTTCTCCATGTTTCCGCTCCATACAGTAGAACTGTCTTGACATTTGTATTGAAAATCCTGACTTTGATGTTTGTTGATAGGTATTTGGAGTTCTAGATGTTGTTCAATGGTAGAAATGCAGCCCTTGCTTTGCCGATCAGCGACCTCACATCTACATCGTCGGATCCGCCTTGATTGTCGACGATGCTGCGTTGGTATGTAAAAGTGTTAACGTCCTCCAAGGCATCTCCATCAAGAATGATTTGGGTGGTGCATGCTGTGTTGCATTGAAGAATTTCGCTTTTTCCTTTTATGTATGTTGAGACCTGCTGCTGCTTCTGCTGAGGCTGCTGCTACACTGGTCGTCTTC